TCTCCAAAAAGTAGATCCCCAGATGTTTTAATACTACAGCTTCCATGATGCTTTGTCATTCTAAAAGCATGCAAAGCATCATGGGTGTTGTAGTTCTACAACATCTGGGGGTCTACATTTTGGGCACCCCTGATGTAAGGAATCATAATATTACTATGTGGAGTATATCGCCCTTCTAATTTGTGGATTTTGCTGTATCAGCAACACTCATTTGTGATAAGCTTACATAGCCAAGCACACCACAATGCACTCTTCAAAGACAAACAATAGCAGTATGATCAGGCAAAACACAGAGTCCAAAGTGTTGGCTATGTGAAACTTTCATAAGATTCCACAATTCCAAAAATTACATCATTGCATGTTTGCCTTCCTAGAGCTGCAGTGTACTCAGAGTGCCCTGACTGCAATATGGACCATTTAGGAGCAAGAACAGCTCAGCTGTGAATATCATACAACCTCAAAGAATATGACTCCTTAGTTCTAAAGTGCTTGCTCAATGCTCATACCAACCGTCTTTTGGTGGCAGCAGCAAACACTGTTCATTTTCTAAACAAACTCTCGAAGCAACAACAATTGAAGAAGCATCATGACATAATTTTCCTTAGGCAAGCACAGATGCACACATCATTACTACAATTCTAAATGTCATCTGCAATAGCAGGAATGTTGCCATAAATTGAAAACAGCAAGGGAAATGCATACTAAAAAGCAATAATTCACACATCATGCTCTTGAAGCTCAAAAAATGTCCTAAGGGTTTTGGCGGATGTCAGGAGATCACTATCGGTCTGACTGTATAGCGGCAGCTAAAAAGTTTAGTGGAGAATAAATCATGGTCTAAGACAATTCCTAATTTTTCGAGCTAGGCCCCTCAGTCCTCCTAACTAACATCTTCATTCCACATCATACTGTGATTGTAAGTGTAAGTATTTTCTTCCAGTTTTTGGGGTAAGCAAATTTCGGTTTCAGCATGACAATGCCACATGCACAATAAAGGCCAATACTGAAGTGATCTGTTGAGATAGATGTGAAAAAAGTCTCTCGGTTGCCCAGGACTTAAACCACAACTTCATCATACTGAATGTCAGGCCTATTAGTACTTAATGATCTTGTGGTTGAATGGAAGCAGGCACCGGAAGCAATATTCCAACACCTAACAAAAGAAGAAAGAACTATGTTATAGTATAAGGTTTAATTAACTCCGTGATATTAGAATTAGATGTTCGTTGTGTAGTTGCCCACACACCTTTAACCAATAGGTCCACCATGAAATCTGGAAGCAAAGACTTAAGGTGTACAGGCAACCTCTTCCTAAAGAGGCTAGACACAATAATTTTACAATTAATTTTGTGAAGTACGTGGTAATAAATTAATTTTAAGATTGTTTATTGAAATTTGGCTGCTAAAACTTTTATGATGAAGAAGTAGATTAAAGTACAATATGAAATGTGTTTGTACAATTTGTTAATATGAAACACTTTGATAAATTAAATTAGAAATGCATTCTGCTCCTAAATCTTTCCATGTATGGAGCACTGAAGCAAGATTAAAAATAGTAGTACCATCTGAAAATATCTCTCCAAGTGGACCCACAAATCAGAGTAACAATCTCTCTGAATTGGATTAAAGGAAACACGTGATATTTTAAAAATACTATTGCTTTTATTTTTTATTTCTATGGAAAGATAAATATTATAACTGCAAAATGGCTACATATCAAGAGAAACATGGCAAAAAGCAGTATGATGCAATATAAACATAGGCGGAAAATAAAATAAAATGATAACATACAAAACAAAATTTTGGACATATAGTGAAAAAGGGAAATGCATGTTTTTTTTTTAAATGTAATTCTTTTTTGCTTTGTATAGTGATACATAGAAACTTGACAAGCCACAACAGCTTTTGTAAGTGCAACTTAAGACATAAGAGAACAATTGCATGGCTTCGATAATGCTGCACAATTTAAAGGATGTTCCACACTAGATTCAATAAGCTAAGAAGATTGTCTAGACATGAAAGGTAAATAGTATAGAGCTTAGTCGGTCAGGCTAGGCATACATGTCTATATAGAGAACAGAAATTAAGCTTATAGACTAATAAATCTTTCTAGACCTGAAGGAGATAAGATAAACATAAACATAAATGTGATCAAAAATGATGGACTAACATTTGAAACAATATAGCTTTGGTGCCACTGGGTACTGGTCTCAATATAAAAAAAAAGTAGAAAAGAGAACAGAAATCCTTGCACTAATAACAAAATGGTAACTGTAGGTAAGCAAGATCTCTGCTATCAAGGATTCAAGGATTCATTCAGTGCCACAGGTAAGCCGCAAGATATAGTCTGTCCCCATGCCAGGCATGATATCACCTCTCTCTCACACACAGTCCTGTAAGAATATTCGGGCTGCATGCTTACAATCTTTGGTAGGCTAGCTGTACTAGGATACATAACCCCCTTGTGCACAGACCCTAAAAGGAGCTGTTACCACATATCCAATAACCCACTTTCTCCCCTCGGAAGAGTCGCAGGCCCAAAGGTGCTCCGGAGTTTGGATGTGTAGTGTTACTTACCCTATACTCAACCCAGCCAGGGTCCTCCATGTCTTTCGAGTACTCCTGCATCCACATGATCTGCGCATCTCGATCACTTCTCATGCTGAGCATGCCGTGTGTGCCGACCATAACAAACAGTCACGCAGCCAGCCTCGTATAATTAAAAGAGCTGCTCGCGGGGGGGTGTTCCGGCACCCCTTGCATGCATGTTTTGTGGATACAGGTATGACGTGGACCAATAAAAAGTGGCTTAAATGTATTTAAACCTCCCTAGCCCTATACACTGTGCTCTATTGTGTTTTCTGTCCCAGTATCCTCTAGTGCGTTCCTTGTTCTATTGTGTTATATTCTGGTATTGACCTTGTCTTTGTTACTGACTTTATGTTTATCAACCCTTTCCTGTGTTGTTTGCCTGTCTGACTGATTACCATGTGATTCTGGATAGTTCTTGTTTTCATTGTCACTTTGTTACCCTGACCATGGCTCATCACTAATTATACTTTTTCTCTGTCTACGTTAAGTCCGGTATTTCTAAAACCCGATTATACATTATTTCCTTGTTTTATCCTCTTGCAATTCTGAACTCTGCATGTTGGGTTATAACAGCATGATAGGAGGATTTGGGTGGCTGATTGGAGGTACCTCCAGATGAGCCCTCAGTCCAGATCAAGGTCAGTGATCCGACGCAGCATGTTTTCCAGTTAAGCAAGCATAGTATAGATTATTAAAAAGTGAAGTGCTCTCTCCATCTCTGGATCTCTGAGCCATCAGAGGACTGTAAGGGGTGGGGCGTGGCAGCCATTTTAAGCTCACTGCATGGTCTCTGATTCGGCAGGCGATTCCGTTGTTGCAGAGAGCTAAGTTTCCCCAGCGGGGACAGGGATGAACCCCACTGGTCCAGATAAATCACTGTTGAAAGCGTGGCCCACGTCATGAAATCATCCACCTCCCCTAGTCACAAGGCTGCCAGTGAACCTAGGTCACATGGTCAGACAGTGTAATGTGGCTGAATAATATAAAATGTATCTACAAGTACTCATTGGATACAGCGGTGGATCACCATGTACTCAATGCTGAATCCAACATGATTTTTGTATTAAAAGCCTAAATTAACACTCCCCATCACACCCTAAACACTAAGCACTCAACATTCCACTTTAATGGCCAAAGCATCCACTATATTGGCACAAATATCCCTACAGACCTGCATCATACCTACTGACTAAATTACACCTCACTCCTAGAAACAGCCTATAGGGACTTACAGGCAGTCCCTGTTCATATCATGGCTAGGTAGATTAGCTTCCATAAAGGTGAATCTCTTATTCCATGCTCTGCCCATAGAGATATCCATAAGAGATTTCAAAACATTACAAACATAGATCGACAGATTTGTCTGGTCATGGAAAAAAGCCAGAATCAAAAGAGCGACAATGTACATCCCAAACTGGGTGGGAGGTCTGGGCCTGCCAAACTTCATGTTCTACTTCTATGCTGCCCAGCTGGCACAAATTCAAAACTTATTTGCACCAATAGGCATTAAACTATGGGTGGACATGGCGCATGACCTCTTTGGTAGAGACTTCCCAACTCTATACTTCTGGCTGTCAAAACAGGCCCTTTATACCTCCCACCACGCCAGCACTATACACCTCGATTCAAGTCTGGGATAAAGTAGTACACAAATTTTCAATCATAAACAACCTCTCTTTACTGACCCCTGTTCTGAGGAACAGACAATTAGCCCCAGGAATGACACAACAACACTTTGAAGACAGCAATTTACTCTGATATTGCCACTTCTTCCACAACCAACAACTGACGTCCCCCAGGCCACACCCTTCACAACATTTGACCACTTTTGCTTTCTACAAATCCAAAGTTGTCTTGATACATCACCCAACAAGGCTGCAGCCACAACCAAACTCACCACCTTTGAGAAAATATGCATTCTAACTCCATTACAAAGGAGACAAATATCCACTATATACTCTTTGCTTAGCACTAACTTCTTGAACCATGCACTAGCATACATCTCAGCTTGGGAGAGGGACCTGGGAGCCCCTGAGGAACCCTCGGAATGGGCAGCAATCTGGGATGCTGTGGCTTTTAGTCACTATCTGTGTGAACCATAGGGAAGACAAATGGGCAGGACAACCTTTGACCTATGCTGGAAGGCATGCAGAATGAAGGGAACCTACTTACTCCTATGGTGGGAGTGCACAGAAATATCCAAATTCTGTCACAGTGTCTCCCAACTCACATCCAGAATACTACAAACAAAAAAAAACTGGATATGGCTACTGTCCAAACCCCATTCTGATCTAGTTAGAGCCCAAAACAAACTAGAAGCCAAGATAAAACAAGGGGCAGGCTGCACTCACCTAAACATGCATAAATATGGTGCTGCTGAGAGCCAATTAGTATAATAAAAATGAAAATCCAGCGCACTCCCTTATCTACTAAACAGCAACTTTGGTGCTGATAGATTTTGTTAGTTTTTTAATAAACACCTTATCTGGGCTTATTATTTTTTGCCTAGATTAGGTGTTTAAAAAAAAAAAAATCTGTCAGAACCAAAGTTGCTGTTTAGTGGATAAGGGAGTGTGCTGGATTTTCATTTTTATAGTAGCCAAGATAGACTTAGTCACAAGGAGAGCCATTGCACACTGGGGCAGGCCAGACATCCCAACAGTGGTGGAAGTTCAGCTAAACAAATGAGACACTGTGTAGATGGACAGGCTATCGGGTCTGATTAATGACACCACGACCCATTTCCACAAAATTTGAGACCCCTGGTTAACTAAATTTACAAAGTCCCATTAACTGAGGAGAGCCCAGCCCAGCCGGGGGGGCACAGCACCACACATATATATACCACACGTAACCCAATTTCTTTGTCTCTTCCCCTGCTATTCCACACCTCCCTTTCCCTTCCACCCACTGCTAAGACCCCCTTCCTTCTCCCTCCGAGTGACCTAATACAGGGTCACTGTAACACCAATATTGAGATTTTGAGGGCCCCACCAGAAAGCAATCTGGCACTCAAGCCATGATACCATTAACCCCCTACAACACAACCCTAGGTTGATGCCATCTTCTAATTTCCGAATTGCATACCCACTCTATCTAAAGGAAAGATCAGACACCCTCAAACTAGCCCTTACACCCTGCCATGCAATACGTATGTAAGATTCTACCCTGCAGACATCTTAGTACTTATACTCAGACTCGGAGGCATCCAATATATCCGAAGTCTAGAACAGAAAGGCACATAGTTTTGTATCAAGCGATGCTTGTTTAAGTTTTACTGTTTTGTTGTTTTATTGGTATTGTCTTCTAAAATGTATGCAACGTCAACAAGGTCTTCATACGAAACATTGATATCTCTTGCAAAAACTTACATGCCAGTAGACACAACAAATTGAGCTTTACACTTGTAATAATGTGACTACATAATCGCAAATAAAGCATGTATGCATTTCTATATGTCTGTTTGAAATAAAGAATTTTTTTTAAATGCTTAAATTAAACTCAAATGTACAGGAGCTGTTAAAGAACATGTCTGGCCATCTTGGTAGTCAGGCAAAATTCTGTGTTTGGTCACTGAAGAGCACGTTACCATCCATCCTGCATTATACAAATATAGAGGGAGATATAAAATGGAAGTGTAGCAGGCACAAAATGTAAAATAATAAGCAGTGGAAAGGGCATTGTCAATGTAGAAAAAAAAATTAAGAAAACTATTATTTTAATGTTAAAATGTTAATTTACGTGAACTCATACAAATCCTTATACATGATCTCTTCAAGATTTTAAATTATACATTTACATATATGTATTTTGTTTCTGATGATCACCTTATCACACCACACTTATATCCCAATACATAACCATACAAAATGTTGACAGCTGGCTATCTATAACGACAGAGAGAAAGTGAGAGAGGAAAAAGTTCCAAGCACCAATAGGCTCCTTTATTGTACCCTCTACACAATACAGACAGGAAAGAAATCCCACTCACATTCAATTTTCCAAGAGGCTGAAAATGATTTAGTGGCATAAACACAATACAATGAAGAAAAAAATACCAAAAATAAAACAAGAATTCTTATGATCCATTCAATTTTTACACAACAGTTTTTAGAAAACAAATTTCGACAAACTCCACCAGTTGACTTTTTGCCTGTTGTATCCATTTGCTAAACGAATATACTTGTTGTACAGATACAAAGCAATGTTCCTTGGATTGTACATTTCAATACTCGAGGCACATTGATTCATACTGACCTGCTTTTAATGCCAGCCCCTGAAGACATTACAAAAACACAAGATCAATTCATCTTTACTCTGTTTTTCTGCAAAGGCTTGGATTTCTTTTTAATGGTAGGATATAAAAAGTATATATATACCACGATGCAACGCTAAGGCAACATTATGCCTGCATGGTATATAGGGGTGTAAGTAATAGATAATATGTAAAACATAACTCATGAGATTTTTTATTTTTCTGTTAGTTTATTTATTTGAATGGAGTTTTATAAAAGTTACATTTGTTGACATGATTATTACAATGGACCTGCCATAGACTGTTTTACATCGCAGAGACTTTATATTCAAATGTGCCTTTTGCTGGTGCAGGATTGGTTAACCTGCACTATTCCAATCTAAACATAAACAAACTATGGAAGATAGACAACATGTGCAAAACTAAAATAACATACTGATACATTAACCCTCATGGGACTTGTTTACTCAACCATCATAGTGTGCATCACAAAGAAAATATATGTGTGTGTGTGTGTGTGTGTTTTTCCAGCTTAATTTAGCATCAGCAGTGAAGTATAATATGACGTGTGAAATAACCTCATGGATTCTTAGTTGGTAAAAGGTGCATCACTCTCAAGACACTCACGAACAATTGACTCACATGGGTAAGTCAGGTTAAAAAGATGTCAACAGATGTAACTGTTATGAAACTCCATTCAAATAAAAAGATAGTTGACGTGCCACTCACTCTGAGAAGATCATGGTTGGTACTTCAAGGTCATTTCAGGTCGGTTGTATCCAGTGGAGAAATATTGAACAATTTCAATGATGTAAGTGCCCAAAATAAAAATAAAAGGGCATGCCATAATTCTTATGCCCCTAAATATAATTGACTTTAGGTGATTACTTCCTAAATGTGCATGTCTCAAATAGACCCCAAAATTAAGCTACCCATTCAAATGTTGTCTAATAATGCCCACATGTCATCATCTGCTTTACCATAAAATAGGTAGAATGCAAGAAAGACCCATATAAAGATGATAAATAAAATTTACAAAAAAAAAACAAGTTTTCTGGACCCTCTACAATTTCTAGATCTTTAGAGTTTGCCATGATCTGCTATGTTCATGTGTTCTTCCATTCAGCTTCTGTTTGGTTGTTTGTTGAGTCTGTCAAATCTCCGTATAACGTGCCAAAGTAACTGAATGATCATATTTACCACAGATAGAGCTATTCAGTTAAAAAAAAATTCAAGGTGAATTCAAACTGAATTTTAAATTGAAGGTAAAAATTGCTGGAAATGAACGATTTCTGAGTCAGCTATGTTTTCATATACTTTGGCCTTAAATTTGAAATTCACTTTGAATTCTCACTTTATTTAATTACAATGAGTATGTGATAATACTTCTGTTTGTAAGTTTTCTAAATAATCTTTCCATGAGTAATCTGTATAATTGTAATTTATATATGTAAATGCATCTTATGGTGTTTAATACAATTGTCATTTAACTTGCATTGAAAATATTAATAACTGTAATATTTTAAAGGAACACTACAGGCACCTGAACCATTACAGCTTAACCCCTTAAGGATCAAACTTCTGGAATAAAAGGGAATCATGACATGTCACACATGTCATGTGTCCTTAAGGGGTTAATTAATGTAGTGGTTCTGGTATTTAAAGCATGTCCTTGTGGCCTTAGCACTGACAATTCAGCCTTTTCAGAGAAAATAGTGTTTACATTGCTGCCTTGTGACACCTGTAGGTGCAGACACTCCGATGGCCACTAGAGGTGCTTCCTATTTAGGTCCTACAGTCAGTGCTGCATTTTCCATAGGAAAGCATTGGGATGCTATTGCGCATGTTCGGCAAAATGCTGCCCTGCACCAATCAGCATCTATGAGGAGATGCTGATTGGTGCAGCGTGGTGGTTTGCCCCACAATAGACTCCCAATACTTTCCTATGGGAAAGCCTTGGATTAGCTGAGATAATCATATTGATAATCTCAGTAATGGAGGCAGAGCCTGCCACAGTGAAACCAGTGCGACGATCAAGAAAAGTAAGTAATCTATCTGTTAACTCCTTACTGAGGGAAGATGGACACCTAAATAGGTAGTTAAGCACTATAGTGTTAGGAAAACATGTATTTCTAATACTATAGTGTTCCTTTAGTGAAAATAAAAACTGTGAATATAAGATATCGTGCAGAGCCGCATACATATTTAAAGCCTTTTATAAATAAAGAAAACATATACAGAGAAATAAATGGTGTATAAAAGATTGTGAACAATAAGGAACCATTTAGTAAAAAAAAGTAAATTGTGAGCTTAAATATATAATGCATAAAGTTATAAAAATATTGGGACACTATAGATGAAAAAAACATAAATCTGCAATCCACTACAATGCAAAAGGGGACTAAATGTTTCCAAAAACATGCCTCATCTTATAGCAACATGAGAAAATTTAATTTCGGAATTGAAATATCAATATATCACAGCACAATCCTGCCAACACTGAACACAATAGGTTTCATGTATTAGTTTGTCAATTGGAAAGAGATTTGCAGACAGCAGGGTTATCTAGCAATAAAAATGACTTGCAACAAAACGTAAGTTAAGAATGAGATGCTGCTGTGATTTGTAAGCCCTATAGAGGGATATATACAATGTATGTGAAGTCCTTGTTCATTTTCTTGAATATTATGCCTCCCATAAATTACATAAAGAATAAATTACATGTATTAAATAAAATTGTAGATTTATTTTAATTTCTATCAATGCAAGCGGGCCAAAAAAACAGAACTCTGTAAAGAAACCCTTGATAAAAAAGAATTTTGTAGTGAAGTATAGATTGGATTATATTCTACTGAGTATTTTATAAACAGTATTTATACAATGTGCCAGTATCTCCCAATATGACAAATCAAACTAATTATTAGGAAAGTAAATACTGAATTTATAAAATGTCATATAAGGGAATGTGTAAGTCCACAACTGAAACTACACACACTGATCAGCCACAACATTTAAACCACTGACAGGTGAAATTAAAAACGTTGATAATATATTGTTACAATTGCACCTGTCAAGGGCTGGGATATATTAGGCAGCAAATGAACAGTCAGTTCTTGAATTTCATGTGTTGGAACCAGGTAAAATGGGCCAGCGATGAGAGTGATGACGTGCACAGATATGTGATGGCTGTTGCACGCACACACCGCTAGCAGCATGAGGGCTGAATGCTAGCTGAGGTGAAGAGTGGGAGACATTGCAGAGTTCAAGTGAGATGCCGTGGTTTACTGTGGTTGCTGTGCTCTGTGAGAGACTTTGTGAACGGACAG